CCCCCCCCCCCCGACACACCAGCTGTATAATAGATCCCTCACCCCGACATGCCGTGCGCCCTTTGCCGGAGTATGCCTCCGAGATGTGGTCTGTCGGTGGGGCTGCCGCATGTTGGACACGCACGCGTCCACGCCCACACGCCAGTGCACAAGCAGATCCCCCCCCCCCTCCTCACACGGGCTTGAGGAGCATGGCCGGGGAGAGACGGTGCTTCCTGTACGTTCATACATGAGGCCTGCGCGCGCGCGCGCGCGCGCGCGCGGCCGTCAAGCCTGTTTTATATTCATCCCGGCAGAGCGAGAGCACATATTGCCTCTTGCGCGCCTCAAACAGGGGACAAGGGATGGCCGCCATCGTAGATGGCTGGTATGGAGTACTCCTCGCCGTGGGCGACCGCCGCCAGGGGCGGCGCCGGGTGGGACGTCCGGCGCGGGCCCATTTCATAGGCCTCGGCAGCCCCCGCCGAGCGGACACCGCGGGCGGCGGCGGCCGGGCCCGGGGCCGAGGTGCGCCGGCTGCCCGGAGAAACGGCCACTCCTGCCGGGGCACCGGTCCCGCCGCCGCCGCCGCCGCCGCCGCCGCCGCCGCCCATGGCCGGGTGGCCAAATGCCAAAGCTGGGCCGCCTCCTCCGGCAGGGGCGCGGTGGGCGCCAGCACCGAAGCCCGGGTTTCCGGGTGCCTGGCCGGCGAAGGCGGCCAGCTGGCGATCGGCCTCCTCGCGGGCGGCCGCCCGGTCACGCCGGCGGAGGGCCATCGCCACGGCCACCCCGACCATCATGGCCAGCGCCAGGGCGGCGGTCAGGGCCTCGAAGGCAAACCACCGCGTGGGCGAGGGGATGGCTTGGCGACCGCGGTGTTGGCGGCCCAGGCGAATGTAAATCAATCGGGCGAGGATGGCCACGCCGGCGCCGGCGCCGACCGCCAAAACCACCGCCAGCCCGGCCGCCAGCCGGGTCCGACGAACCAGGGTCGGCCCGGTGCGATCGATGCGCGGCGGCCCGACAAGCTGGTCGGCCGCCAGCGAGCAGAAGACCGCCAGCAGGCCGCCGCACACGACAAAGGTCAGCCCCAAAAGCAGGGGCATGGGGTTCGGCGTGGCCGGCAGCAGGCGCCACATCAGCCGGCCAAGGGCATCGCCGGCGGCCAGGCACACCAGCGCCCGCCAGCCCAGCAGGCCGTCCAGCTGGGCCAATGCCCCGCCAGCCGGATGCAAGTGGCTGATGTCCGCCACCTTGACCCGGCCGGACCCGGCCCCCGGAGCGCGGCCTATGGCCCCGGCCCCGGCATCCGCGCCGGCTGTGGCCCCCAGGCCGAAGAGCGTAATCAGGCAGATGGCCAGCACCAGGGCGCTGATCCACCAGGTCAGCCCTTGCGCCGGGTAGCCGCGCATGGACACCGCCGATCCCACATGCACCAGGGTGAGGCTTGCCAGGCCGGTAATGGCGGCCGCCCCGTGCCCCAGGCCGCGGATGTACATGTACCGGGCGGCCAGTGCCAGGGCAAGGGCCACCACCAGCACGAAGACCGGGCTGAAGGGTGCTGGCAGGCGCGTGACCGCCGCGACGCCCGTGGCAATGGCAAAGGCCATGGTAAAGAGGGCTCCCATCAGCTGCAGGGCGGGGGTCAAATGTGTCAGGGTCGGGGCTGTCTCCCGTGAGCGCGCGGCGAGCAAAGGCAATTGGCGGCCCCTCCTCGTCGAGAGGCCCGGAGCATGGGAGGAGTTGTTGTGCGCCATCCCCGCGGCTCCTCCTTTTTGTTCGCGCCTCTGCGCGAATACCTGTGGCTTTGCATCTTCCAGGCAGCATGGCTTTTGGTGCATAGGCACAGCATATGGCACACGGTACGGAGGCCGGGGGGGGGGGGGGGGTGTACATCGAGCATGGCGCGCTGAGGGGAAAAGATGGCACAAGTAGGGGGACGACCATCACCGAGACTGGTGCGGTTTGATCACAGGGGGACGGGGGGGGGGGGGGGGGAGGAGAGAAACATACACAAATGCTGAAAAGGGCCAAGGCAGTGGCACGCAAGGCCCCGAGGGTCGGCGTTTCCGGCTGGCTGGCCGCCTGTTCCGGGTTCGAGGGGGTGCTGTGCTTCTGACGCTGGCGCTGCACCCACCACCGGTAGACCACCACACTCGCGGCAAAGAGGCACACGGCCAAGATCCAAACCCCCGCGTGGATAATGCGGAACACCGCCAGCCGGTCGAGCTCGTCCTGGCTGGAACGCTCCTTCTGCCACCGGGTGGAGGTTGTCGTATCTGGGGGGGGGGGGCGACGTCAGTACGATGGGTGGGAAATAAAGTGTCCCCACCCACAACAGGCGACTTCTCTTCCTTGCTCTTCCGGACTGGGCCGGGCACTCCCCCCCCCCCCCCCCCCCCCCTCCGCTGTTGCGGGTGTGTGTTTGCTGGATTGTTTGCCCGCCGCCTTGGGCCCGGTGTTCGCCGAGGCCCGGCGCCGGCCGCTCGCTGGCGGCCGGCCAGGGAGGGCGAAACGCCCGCCCAGCTGCCACAGCTGGCTGGACTCACACGCCCGCGCCCGCGCTCGTGTCTCCCCGCTCGAGCCCGCACACCGCCCGGCCGTCTCGGTCGGCGCGGCTGGAACGCTCCTTCCGGCACCCGCCAAGATGGTGCCCCACGTCCCACGGGTCCCGCGCAAGGATCGCCGCGAGCGGGGTCTTCTCTTCGGGCGCGCCTGGGACACTTTCTCTTCCTTGCTCTTCCGGCGGCGGCCCGGCACTCCCCCCCCCCCCCCCTATGCGCTTTACGTGTCTTCGTGTGGCTGAAGATAATTATGCATAAATGCAATGTGCCTCTCTCTCTCTCTTTCCCTGTCTATCTCTCTTGCCTATACGTCTGGCCTCCTGGCCTCCTCGGTCCAAAGGCAGCCTGGAGCCATGGGGAAAGAGTGGCACGAGGAGCAGCAGCATGCTCGCCATGCTCGACGGCCTTCGCCCCTCCTCCCTGGCATAGGGAGATCCACTGACACACACATCGACGACACGCACGCAAATTCATGGCCCGGGTCCAGACCAAATCGTCGAGCGCCCAGAAGAGCCACATCGCCGGCATGAGCATCCACACTCCGGCGCTGCCGTTCCTCAGGGCTTCGGCGGCGGGGAGGGGCGGCGGGGCCCCGCCGCCTGCCGATCCAAAAAGCTCCACCTGCAAGTCGGCCAGCGTGCGCGGCACTCCGAGGCCCCGGCCGGCCGGGTCGCCGCCCAGCCCCAGGGGCCCGGCCTCGCCCTCCGGCACAGGGTAGCCCGGCTGCGAGCGACCTGGGGATACCTGCTCAAAGTACTCCGGCGGCAGGACATTCGGGTTGTGGTCTTCGTAGAAGCCGTCGTAGCGTTGGAACCGGCCGCCCGGGGTGGTGAGGCACCTTTGCCGCTGTTCTCCGAGGGAGGGGAAGGGGTCGGGGGCTTCGCCGGGGGCGCCGCCGCTGCGGGACGACCGCCGGGGCCCGGGCCTGCCGCCTGCCCGCGAGGGGGGGACCTTTTGGTCGGGCCCCTCGCTGCCGGCATCGGATTTGGCGTCATCATAGGCGGTGGTCGGCGAAGGGCCACAGCGCGGCTGCCAGAGGTCGGGATTCGGGTTCTCATAGAAGGCCGACTGGTCGATGGCATGGTCGGACAGGTGGTCCCCCGGAGGGGCCGCCAGGTTGAAGGTGGCGCCTCGGCCGCGTGCATCGCGCGGGTAGAGCGTCGATCCGGGCGACCGGTGTGTCCCGGGGGGCTGCCGGCCGGCCGGCTGGGCCAGGGCCAGCGACGAGGCCGACCCCTCCATCGGGTCATCTTCGGCCAGCGTGGACACCGTCGGGGGGAGGCCGCCACCGCCCGGGCGCGGGCGGGGCACGTCCTCCGGCGAGGGGGCCAGGGCCAGCGGTGTGGGCGACCCGCCGGCGGGGCGCGGGGCACTCAGTGCCCCGCCATCGTCGGCACTGCTGCCACGCTCGAAAAAGGGATTGCCCAGTTGGCGCATCTCGCGCGAGGTATACTGGTTGAAGGTGTCGGAATCGTCGACTGCCAGGGGAGGACCAGGCAGTCCCCGTGACGTCGAGCCGCCTCGACTGGCGCGTGCCTTGCCATTGAGGGTGCGCGGCGGCGGGGACAGGGCCACCTCGTGGGCCATGCTCTGGACAGCATCGCTGAGGGCTTGGAAGCGCCCGGCGGATTCCGGCCGGCCGGCCATGCTGGGCACGATGGCGGTCGATGAGACAGCTGCGTCGACTTCCCAGTCCGACCGATGGAAGAGGGACTCCTGGTGCAAGGCCTGCTGCAGTGCGAGCTGGGCGTTGAGATCGGCCCGGGCCGAGTGCGCGAGCTGTCTCCCCGGGAGCTGTCTGCCCTGTGCCAGCGAGGGCGCTTGCGAGGCCTCTTGCCACAGCTGGGGCGGGTAGTCCAGAGGCGAGGTGAGGCTGATGGTCGGCCGGCTGGTGGACCGAATGAAGGCCAGGTCCCGGGAGGACAGGTCAATGGTCAAGTGGCTAGCCTCGGTGCCCGGAGCTACGGGGCCCGGGTGGTCGTCGGTGTCCCGGGCAGGCCCGAGTGGCGGCTGGAAGGACATGAACGCCCCAGCCAGGGG